GTGTTAGCCTGTGGTTATGGCAGGAATTCCAATATGTCCTTTTCACGGTCACAGCCCGTTCCAGTTTCTGTTTTCGCCCGTGTCGCCCAGTAGTTCTGGGTGAATGTGTGGAGTTGCTGCACTCCTCCGTCTACCTTATGTTGTCGTCCTGCTCTCAGAGCAACCCTTTCTCGTCGTCTCTTTGTTCCACTGTCTTCGGAAAGAAAAAATTCCTTTCAGTAGGATAGAAAAGGAAGATTTAAGGCTACAATACGGCCATGACACTTTCGTGTTCAGTTCTTAGATATGGGCCAGAAAGTGCTTTCATTTGTGGATCAGAATGGTATTTTAATCAATTTTTAGATATGATGAGCAGCTTCAGTCGGCAGTGATCTCTGTGCAGACACTTATCAAATCATCGTCCTTGGATGTCCAACTTGCTGCACTTAAAGTACTGAAATGGTCAGTTGTGGCTCATCTTTACTGGCTTAGTGGAAAGATAGTATCCCAGTGCAGGAATTAATCGGCGCATTTAGTTCGTAACAGACGTGGTGCTGGCGTATCTCTTTGTTCGTAAATCTGCGGTAAATTTTAATGGCTGCAGGGAGTAAAAAGTGGAAAAACATCCAGTTATTCACAAAAAATAATTGTCTAGCTTCTTGTAGGCTAAAGAATCTCAGAAATAATTGATATCTGCGCGTTTCCAGTGTGTGTTTGGGATTAACGAAACACTGTTTTATTGTTCCTCCACATCTCCATGAAAAGAGAGAAATTCTGAGTTGGCCTCAGTTCGAAAAATATTCCTGCAGAAATATTCCTACAATTTAATAAAAACGGATAAATTTAATATTGCAGCATAACAGTGAATATGTTGAAGTTAGAAAACAAGCAAGTCGAAAAGTGTGATACCGAAAGTGAAAAGCTTCCGTCCACATCTTATCAGAAACGACTGCCAACTTTGTTCCGAAGAATTCTCGATGAAGATATAACTGATAGCTGCGCCCTTTCACCGAAATTGCTTGTCATGGATGCTTTCATAAGTCAGCTTCACCATTTTGAAGTTTTGGAAAGGGTGTCATATTGCAGTTGTATCAGTCCATATCTGGATCACATTCTACCGCAGCTATTTGATCTTTTGCCCAGTGTGGATCTTGGTAAGTTATTTAACAAAACTTGAGATGTCCGCAGACATTTGATGCCTGTCGACTCCTTCAAGAATTCGTGTCGTTTGTGCCACAAGTATGATTATCTAGTTTGTCAAAAGATGCATCGGGCACACACACACACACACACACACACACACATGCACACAAACACAGCTGTTGCACAACATAATAAATGGCAAAGCGCACCAGACTAGCCGGTGCGATCATGCGTTTTGTGCAATTCAGCCCATC